CACACACACACACACACACACACACACACACACACACACACACACACGCACACACACACACACACACCAAATGCTTTAGCAGCTTAAAGTTATTGCACATCCTTCAACTTGTCTCAGTTTTTTCTCATATCCTTCATTTCCCCTGCAGACAGAACAGTGATCTTGTCACCACCCAAGGATATAAAGGTGCAGCCTGGACACACAGCAGTCTTTACATGTGTGGCCCATTATGACGCCAGTCTCAAAGTTCCCATCATTCAGTGGAGGAAGAACAATACAAAGCTGTTTGAATCCTCCAGCAGTCAAAAGTAAGACTCAAGACTCTGAGCAAGATCTGACAATGATAAGGGGGATGACGTTAGAAATGCATTGATTTATGTGAATGCTAACAGTAGCATCTTTGGTATACAAGCACAGCTAGGAATAAATGTCACAAATTAAACTTATCGCATGTTGTTCCGTCAGGTTTCAATTTGGACTTGTTCATGTCTGTGTTGACAAAAGAATAAAAGATATTGACACGATGACGAGGTAGAGAGGAAGGTATTGTACTGAAAAATATATAAGAAAAAACAATACTGGATTCATTTTTTCAGATACACATTTGATGGGCCAGAATTCAGAATATCTGATGTGGAACCAGACGATGAAGGCTTCTACACCTGTGAGATCATCACATCACTGGACAAGGCTGATGCCAGTGCCATGCTCATTTTATATGGTAAGCTCACCTTTCCTGGACTGGATACACAACAGGCATAGGCCACAAACATGCATTTGTTTTGTAATTTAAAACATAATTTTATAAATATTTACATGCAGTGTGCAGGCAGTGGTGACAAAACTGATAATGTTGGTGTTCCCCTTAGACCGACCAGATCCTCCAGTCCTCCTCCATATCTCTGATCCTAAGCATCGAGCTGTCACTCTCAGATGGACTCCAGGATCCAACCACAACAGCCCTGTGCTAGGTTCATTGCAGACAAACACACATTCTGTCACTCATTTTATCCCAGCCTTTTTTCTTTAGAGCAAGACTTTAGCGTATCAAATAACTTGATTTATCAGGGAAATGTCTACAACACGATTAAAGTTCATGCGAGCTCTGAGTGTCTCTGAATTATTTTTGCAGTGTGTGGCTGCATCTTTTCGTCCCCATCAAACTTTCACTTTGTTTCCGCAGAGTACGTTGTTGAGTTTGAGGACCAGGGTTTGATAGGGAGGGATTGGGAAGAGCTAAAGCGAGTAGAAGGGAACAAGGAGCGTGTTGTCCTCCACCTGTGGCCTTACATATCCTACCGTTTCCGGGTCATTGCCATAAACGAAGTGGGAAAGAGTGACCCCAGCAAACCATCTGATATCCACAACACACCTGCTGAAGGTAAAAGCCATAGTTTTGCATTGAAAACATTTTTCACTGTCAAAGTGTAACCAGATAACAACAAACTGTCTTTTTCATCCTTTGAACAGCTCCAGCCAACAACCCGGAGGATGTCAGGAGTGAGTCTGTAGACCCAGATACTCTGCTCATCACCTGGGAGGTACGCTAAGTGTACAAGATTTTTATTTTCTTAACAAACTCAGCTAGAGAAGATGCATTTTCTGCAATAATGGTGTGAAAACTGGGTGCTTAATGTGCTAAAAGTTGTTGTAGAATGAAATGCTGAAGTGAAAAGAAGCAGAGCAGAAGCTAAAGTCTGCAAAACAGAAACTAAAAGCTAAAATCAATTTTTTTTCCTGAAAGTGAAAATTAGGAAACTGCTGCCTAAAAAAAAAAAAAATTCAAAACTGTTGTTACAAGTTAAAGTGAAAAGAACAGTAGCTAAATGCCTTGATAAAAAAGAGTAACTGTTGCATGTACTAAAATCTAATGTAAAAAAGAGCTAAGCTTAAATTAGCAAAACAATGGCTAAAAGCTACAATATTCAAAACTGTAACTAAAGACTAAATATAGCAAAACGGTAGCTAAAATAACTTAGCAAAGCTAAACTAGACAAACTAAAGGGGGCTGCGGTGATCAGTGCCATGGTCCTGCCATCCTGAGGTTGCAGGTTCGAACCCAGGCTGCATCAGAAAGGGCACTGGCATCAAACAACCCCTGAAGAAAGGCACAGCTGAAAGAAACTTATTAACTTCACTAAAGCTAAACTATAGCTAAAAACTAAAAGGATCATAAGAAGACAAAAATAGAGCATGTTTAATTGAGAAAACAGCTTTTTTGAAGGAACCTAAGATATCTCAATGTATTTAATGTTTTTTTTTTTGGTTAATAAAGTTAAAAATGCCAAGAGTATAAAAGTTACAAACACTATATTTCATAGTGCACTATTCCTGATCAAGCCTAACACACAAATGTTTATTATTTGATTGTAAAGAACAAATTAAAAAATATATACTGATGAACAATAGTGTGAATGCTGGAGCAGCAGTCACAATTTTGTTTGGCTTTAGGAGGATTTGTGTTTTACTGCCTTCCATTCGTTTCAGAAAATGGACTACAGGAACTTTAACGGACCAGATTTCAAGTACAAGGTGCAGTGGAGGAGAGCGGTGGGCAGTGGGCCTAAGTGGCATGAGAGCAACACAACAGAGCACCAATTTCTTGTCAACGGCGTTGGCAATTTCTCCGCCTTTGAAATTAAAGTTCAGGCTGTTAATGCATTTGGGGACGGACCTGAGCCAGACCCGGTTATTGGCTACTCAGGAGAAGATGGTAAAATATTTTAAATAACACATTATTCGGCTGTACACTTTTCTTTTAGTGTAAATATTCATACTTTACATTGTCTCTCAGTTCCACTTGAGGCACCAATGGATGTGGGTGTTCAACTGATAAACAGCATGACAATCAAAGTAAACTGGTTTGCCGTGGACAGAGAGTCAGTCAGAGGACACTTGCTGGGATACAAGGTGTTGTTTCTGAATCTTCTCTTGTCTATTTTTTCTGTTTAACCTCTAAAGCCAGAACTCATGATGTTGTTTTGGTCGCATCAGATACATGTAACCAGAAAAGGCTCCAGGAGCCACCACCGAGGCCGACGGTCCAGGGAGTCCGAGAACGTTGTGATAGAAGAAACTGGGCCCAAAGAAGTGGAGAAGGTCATCAGTAATCTTAGACCGTACTCCCACTATGTTCTGACTGTCAGTGTGTTTAACAAAAAAGGAGAAGGACCCCATTCTGAGCCTCGGGTCTTCAAGACTCCAGAGGGAGGTAAGAATATAAGGTGGTGGGGATTGACAAGGCAGGGGAAAAGAAACTTGATAAAGTAGTTGGAGAGGATTAGACACAGAAAACAAGAAACAGAGATTGAGCAAGATAACGACTGATATGGGACAGGGGAGAATTATGAAACAGCTTTTAAGATATATTTTACTGAATGGCTTTGATCAAAACTAAATGAGCCTCTTTTTAAGCCGAGCAAAGTTTAACCAGGTGTCTTTGTGCTGTTGTCAGTACCTGGTCCTCCCACATCTCTGATCCTGGACAGCCCCTCAGAGACAGAAATGATCCTGCACTGGAAACCTCCTGCTCACCCCAATGGCATCCTTGTTGGATACCTACTTCAGTACCAGCGGAGTAAGAGCTTCATATTTGATCCCTAATGTAAAATCTTTTAAATCTCCTAGATTTACTGGACTGAATTCATGTGGAGGATACTATTTACAAAAATACTCAAATTACATCTATGAAACTATAAAAATGTCACAAAATCTTAGTTACGTGCATCCGTCAGTCAGGTGTCGGTAGTCAAACAGTGACTGAAAGGCTTTGGGCTTTGCTGTGGTCAGTTACAGAGAATGACGACAGCCCCATGCAGGAAGAGACAATCGATGACCCCGCAGCCACTCACCTCACCCTAACGAGCCTGGACCGTCTCAGCCATTACCGCTTTTATCTGAGGGGGCGCACAGCTGCCGGGGATGGAGAGTCCAGTATGATGACGGGGGCCACCACACTGGAAGGAGGTATTATTTCTCTTAATTTCAAGAATGGTATTTGCAGGCAATTTGTGCTTGTGTACATCATATTTAAGTATTGTCTGTCTTTATACTGCAGCACCCCCTGACGACATCAGTGTATCTGTAGGGGAGAACTTGGTAAATGTCAGCTGGGAAGCCAAGAAGAGACAAAGGAATGTTGGTTTCTACATCCACTACCTGAAAAAGAACGGTATGATATATGCACTAAAATAATCACTGCAGTGATTGATATCCTGAACAGCAGCAGAAATGTAACTGAGGTTCACGATGTGCTTGTGCAGATGGCAACAAATGGAAGAAGTCTGAGAAACTGAACTCCTCTCAGTCCTTCTACCAACTTCAGGGTTTGAGTCCTGGCTCTCACTATCTCCTACACTTCATCTACGGCAACACCACATTCTGGGATACTGACATAAACACAGCAGGAACAGGTAGCTCTTTGCCGTCATTCACGCTGTTTCCTTGTATCCCCTTTGCTTTCCCCAGTGGGGTTTCTGTGTCTAAAAATATCAAATTGCATCCTAAAGACAGTACCATGCAATTCTTCTGTCTTTCTGCTTGTGAAATGCTTTCAAAGACTCTTGTGAGGAGAGCTTGGTTAGCCGTATGAAGGGTAATACTTTAGTTCTTAGGTGAAATGTCACCTTGTCAGAGTGCATTACACATTTTCTTGTGTGCTCTAGATTCTGCTCTCATTTATCTTGTGCCGTCTATCCTTTTCATGCTTTACAGCATTCTTGTGTTTTCATCCTGATTTCCTTAAAAAAGGGTTGTTTTTTTTTTGGCTTCTCACCTACTTCCCACCTATTTTTATTTTCCTTCCAAAGAAGTGACAGAGGTGCAGCGAAGCATTGCAACGCAGGGCTGGTTCATCGGAGTTGTGAGTGCCATCGGACTTCTGTTGTTGATTCTGCTCATCCTATGCTTCATCAGGAGGAGTAAAGGAGGAAAGTACTCAGGTAAACACTTTCCAACAAGACGAGTGCTCTGCATACATCACAAGATCATCGGTTCAACTAAAAATACTTCTTGTAAATCACAAAATCATAGAGTTGGAGTAGCTTTTTTGTAATCTATATTTACATGTATAACCTTTTTTCTCCTTTAAAACATTAAGTGATAGTGATGTGTGGTTTTGTTTAAAGGTTATGAACAAGTAATATCTTCATTCATTCATTCATTCAACCTTTATTTATACAGGTTAGTCTCATTGAGTCACGAGGACTCATTTACAAGAGAGACCTGTTGTAGATATCTCGTTGAGAAACACTTGCTTGGAAAATAGTTTAATTCTATTATAATCTAATGGCTTGACTAAGTGAGGCTAAAACTGACGTTGATCGTCGCTGTCTAAATAAATCCACAGCAGTTTAAGAATGCTGTTGTATAAACTTTTACACTTGTATTGATTTCTCATTACAGCTATTTACAAAACGTTATGCTAATCTTTACAAATGTAAATACTGGCAGCAGCAGGTAGCTGTACCACTTCTGGTGCAGCCTGGTCTTGCTGCTTTAAAAAAATATTTTAGTTAGTATTTTAGTTGTTTTAAGATGGCAGTCGTCCACTTTGTTCTTGAAAATGTATTACTTCGGGTGTTTGGAAGTAGAATAGCAACATTACCAATGATTACCAATATTACCTTCAGAGATGGTTTGTCTTTTTTGCACTTTAGACTTGATGCCGTCTTGCTGTTTGACAGAACATTTTACTGATGTAGACATAAAGTTGGAATAAAGATCCCTGACCTGTCTCATTCTCAGTGAAAGATAAAGAAGACGGTCCAATGGACTCAGAAGTGCGACCGATGAAGGATGAAACTTTTGGAGAGTACAGGTTTGTTGTCTGAATTGTACTTTGTGTTTTTATGGAACGTTTGAACTCCTAACAGCCCTGAATCCCTCAGCACTGCTTGGTTTTCCTAACCCTTTGTGTTCCTTTCCTTTGCGTCTTTTTTTTTGTTCTCTCTGATGCGTGCCCCTGCTTTGCAGATCTCTAGAAAGGTATGCTGTGATGTGGTCTACCCATCTTTTATGTTACCCCCTCTAATTGTTTGGTCTGCTGACTTCCTTTTTTAAAAGCACAAGAGTTTATAAAATGCCTGAAGTCTACATTGATCATCTCAACAGTCCATAACCTTTAACCTTACTATAAATTACACATATAAAGCTGCAACCTTTTATACTGCATGTGATCACCTACCATTTTTGACAATATGTTTTCACACATTTCTCCTTTCTTGAGTTTTTGATGTTAGTGCATTCCCTAACTTGTGCTCTCACCCAATCTAGTGATCTTGAGGAGAAGCGGACAGCGAGCCAGCAGTCTTTGGGTGAGGAGAGCAAGCTCTGCAGCGAGGACACCCTGAACTTTAATGGCAGCAGTGCCATGACCACAGAGCTCAACAATGATGAATCTCTGGTCAGCCAGATCAGCCGTCCAAGTGAGGGGTTCCATAGCATGCCTCAAAACCCCACGCTAAACCCCACCACTATCTCCTCAGCCTCCAACGGCATGCCCACTTCAGTTAATATCCTCAATTAACCCCTAAACATCCACCAGGGACCGTCAGACCAAAATCTGTCAACACGTTTGTGCCCATATTCTCTCGCTCCCCACCGACCTGCTGTTTATTTTGACATCCAATGTACAATTTACTGACTACTCAGATGCCCACAGCAGTCACATGACTGATTAGACTATTGTGACCAAAGGAGAGTCCAAAGTGGTGGACCATGCGACTCAAGCCTGACCCATAATCTTCTGTTTTCTATGTAGTTTCCAGGCAGTTTAGCATCTTTAATTCATCCCATTTTTGTGTATTTTTGTTCTTACAGCAAACAAATGAAATATAAACAGAATGTTGTACATTTTAAATATCAGGGGTTCGTGGTGTAGTTATATAGAGATGCAAATCGCTGCATTAAACATAAGAGGAGGAGGAGGATGGTGGAGCCCAGTAAAGGGAAACTAATTGTATACATCCTGAACATCTATCAGGTCTAAAATCATTTCTGTGTAATGTGTACGTCTCATGCCATTTAATGTCTCACGTTGTGCTCGCCATTCACATTTTTTAGTTTCGAAATTTGTAATTAAACACAAAACATTTTATTTACCAATTATTTTCATATTTATATCAAGCTTGTGACGTTTTTTAATTTAAGATTTTTATTAGATCAAGATTAAAATCCAGGCATATAATTTAGTTGTAGTGGGACTTGCTGTGAAGATATGGAGCAACAACAGGTGTAAATAGCTGCATCGCTGCATCTGCATCTATCTATTCAGCCCTAATACAGTATTATAGATGTGTAATTGCTCCTTCTACGTTCCTGTGCCTGCTGCGTCTGCATAAAGCATCAGACTGACTTCATTTCAATCTCGCCTTCATATCATAAGTGTAATGTCATTAATGGAAATGAAACAGTAACGTTTGTTGTTGAGACCTATGTGTAAGTTCTCTGTGACCGTCTTTGTCTCCTTCTTCGCTGTATTAAAACATTGTTGCGTCTGATTAACAATCTTTTTTATGCCTGTTCATCTCATACTACTCAATCTGATTGAACAGCAGTATTTATTGCAGAGTGTGCAGTTTCTTGGACACTCCCTAAAGTTTTAGATTTCAATCTTTATCAATGCAAGCTAGGTAGTGTAGACATAGTTCACATCTTTTAAAGTAGAGATTCAAGGAAGGGTTGTAGTTAACGATACCTGTTGTAGATAGCTGTTTGCACATTCTTGGTTCTCACCTGATTGATGAGCTAATGGCTAGTCTGAGTTGGGTCAGAACCAAAAAGTATTACAACTCTGATCTCAGAAAAATGTATTATGATTCATTCTAACGCTATTTTACAAACTTTTACCTATAGTTTCAAATTACTTGGTTATTTACATAGAATCCTGTGATTATTAGTAGTGTCAATAGCAGCAGCGTCTGGCTGTGGCACTTCCTTTGTAGCCTGAGCATTTCAGACAGGATAATCATAATATTTCTGCTGGAATGCGATACACTTTGATCCTAGCCCTGCTTGGACAAGATGTTAGCTCTCTGTCAGAATTAAACTATATTTCCTCAAACTGAAACCATTCAAACAGCTATTTACAACAGGTAAGATATTAAGTGGTCATAATTTTTCCACAGAACCTCACTTCAAAAGATTTAAACTATTGCTTTAAGATGTGATGAAGGCGAACTGTTGGTATTTATATGAGAGAATGTATTCTTTTCAGGGCGAGGTGGATGTTGCATTTCTGTGCTTTTAGTCAGAGAAACATGACTGCAGCGATGAGAAATGTTTTAAGTCATTTAGAAAGGGAGGTTTTTTTTCCCACAGAGTGTAAATAGAACCCTCAAAGAGCCATGTTTGATATAACATTTTTAAAACATGCAGGTTTAAAATCGATTATCATTTTAAAACGTTTCAAGTTGAAGTTTTTTCTTCTTCTATACTATTGCTATGAACTCAGACAATGTGTTTTTGATAAATGACTGCAGTGAGATTTGGGTGTAACAAAAATAAAATAGTTCATGCTGCAGTCGAGGTACAAAAAAATTAAACAAAAACAAAACAAAAAAAAAAAAGACCAAGTTGTACTGTAGATGTTTGCAAACAAAATGTAAAAACCAAGAAATTGTACATTAGTGTCATTTAGTGAAAGTAGGTGCATCTCACTGAAAGCTAAGTTAGCGTTCATGCACATAATCATCCAGCAACATGTTGCAGTGCAGTGAATATCTGTGAGTTTTGAACCTGATGCATCCATGCAGGGCAAATTCATGCCCTCCTTATTCAAATAAAAGCATTCTGCTGACAGGACATCAGATGACAGGTCCTGAGGCAGTATGGGATATCTAAAAAAAAAGCTAGAATTACAGACGTTATGTCCAGGTTTCTTGATTTTTGGATATAAAGACATGCTCAGGACAAAAAAAGTCTATTTTCATACAGGAGAAATGAATGATTTCAATTATGCTGATATTCTAGCACAACTCTCTGCTGCCAAACTTCTGTGTTTGTCAGTGTTTGGGACAAATGTTAGTTTTGAATAGGGAATGACAGTAAACACACAGATACTCACTCGACTGCCACTCACCCTGTTCTTTTGTGTTTTGATGGAAATCCAAAGGGAATGCTGGTCTTTGCTTTTCCACTGTCACTAATGTTTCTTCCCCTAACCCCACCCCGTTTATAAAATTTAAAAAATAGGGAAAAAAAAAAAAAAAGGAATGATTTGAACATGAATTGGTTTGCTTAAAAAGTAGCATCGCTTACGAAGTAATGGAAGAAAAATGGTGAAACATGGAGGGTTGGATGTGTGTGCCACTGACGTGGGTGGGGGGGAAATGTGCCTAGTTGTGGTGTGTTGGTTAGCACAATGATGATGCCTTTATGTTTCTGGGGTGTTCGACTAGAGATGAGTGCTGAAGCACCACAGATGGGGCAAAGATAGCTGTATGATTTTAACACTGTAACTGGATTCATGACTGAAAAATAGAAATAAAATTTAAAAAAAAACATTGAAAAATATGCACTGACGATTGTTTCTTTTTTGTTCTTTTGGGTAATAAAAATTACAAAAAAGCAAAACGTGACTGTCAATAATTTATTCGTATTAGTTATGAATACAGAATCATTCAGTGAAATTTGCACATCGTTGCCAGGGAACAAGCTGGTGGTCAGCGGGAGCTGGTGTTGAACTGATTAAAGTACTCCTTGCTGGGTTTGTTGGTGTAAAGCGTCTTATTCAGATACTTCTGACTGGAGCAAAAATATAAATTGACACACAATGAGCATCTCAAAAATAGCCATTTAAATGTGGAATATTTGAGAGTTCAATTATCTTTAGACAAAGTGTGCTTGAGCATGAGAGTGTTCGTGTTTGCAGTGCTTACTGTGCTTGCTGCTCTCTGATCAGCTGCAGATTGACCCGGTCCATCTCAACCCTCTGCTGCCTCCTCAGCTCTGCTGCTCTTCTCTCCTCCTCCTCTGCTTCTCTGGACATCTTCAGGAGCTGAAAGTCCCAAGCCGCGTTGCTAATCTTTTCAGCATTAAGTTGTCTCTGGAAGCAGAAATAAATAAAAGCCTTACATGATCTCAGATCTGCTCAAATTGTTGATTTAAACACAAATCTGCAATGTTACAAAGACAATAGAACAGAAAAATAGTAATTTGGTTGATCTTTTCCTCAGTTTTTATACATTTTAAGTACATGTTAAATTGTTTCATGTATTCAAAACTATTTTGAAAATACTTTAATTAATAATCGTTTGTTGCATATTATTTTGTGTTTCTTTACATAAAGTAGACATTTGTTTAGTTAAAATTTCCTAGCCAAATCTGAAAGCAGCTCATCAACAATATTTACATAACTGCAGATTTACTAAATAAACATAATATTATAAAGTCAAAGCCCATATATGTATGTGAACAGAAAACAAAAACTTAAACATATTATTGCTTAAATTTAAAAATGGAAGAAAACATCAAAATGATTCATTTTCACATTCAGTGCTCCAGAAAAGAGCCAGGTCAGTTATGGTTTGCATTCACATCTGCCTGTTTCTACAATGTTTCCTAAATTTTTCAAAATTTCTTAAAGAAGCAGACAAAAAAATAAAATAAAGGATAATCTTTTTTTTTTTTTTTTGGCAAAACTGAAGTCCTGATAGTAAAAATAATCACTTCTTTATATGCTGAATAATGTAGATTTACAGTATATAAAGAATCCAGATGACCTGACTGAAAATCGTTGGATTGTATACCTGGATTATTGAGCATGGACTTTTTTTTTTGGTTTTGAACCAGTTTGACACGACTGTCAACAAGGAAGAGGGCCGGCACGAGAGGAGGGGGCGTGCCAAAGACACCATCTTAGCACCAACATAACTGGTTTGTTCCACTTTGGAGTAAGTTGTTTGGGGGAAGAATCAGTTTTATGTTGTGTGTTTCCTTGACTGATGAAGCCTTCTGGATGGAAGGTGAAATGTTTCAGCAAAAAAAGAAACTGTCGAGATGACCTGACTGAAAATTGTTGGATTGTATACCTGGATTTTTGAGCATGGACTTTTTTTTGGTATATGAAAAAAGGATAACAGCTGACAAAGATTACTTTTGTAAATGAAATAAAAGTCAAAAGTAAGTTATACCAAGATGAATAAGGTTTTAAGTGTTTGTGAAAAATCTCTGCACCATGCTAGAATGCATTTAATGGGCGTAAGCATGGAGAAGATGCATGCATGATGAATATATAAATCCTCTATACTGTAATTAAAGTCAGCTATAAACATTGCAGCAACTTCAAACTCAAACTTTGTCTTAAAGGACAGCACATAATCTGAAAGTTAAACATCTTAATTTCAGCTTTAGATTTTCAATCTGATAGCAAATACGGAACTGGTTTTAACCTTCTGACATGCCTCATAGGTGAAGTGAAGAAGAAAACACAACCTGCAGGTTAAAAGAGGGATGAGTTTGAACAATGAGCCATTTATGCAATTGTAGAAGTTATAATATGTCTGTGAAGGCGTCTCTGTTTTAAAGTGTCTTTTTACTGGAAGTCCATACCATGTCCTGTTTTTATGTTGAAATATAAATGGACAAGAAGACGATAAACCAATAAACAATTAACCCCCTCCTCATTGCCTCCAATCACCTTGTCAGAGCATAGCTGTTAGCTGCTTTGGAAAAAAAAGCTTATGCTGAACTACAAAAAATGTAAACGTTTTAACCTGTCACCAGTACAATACCTGTCTGTCAAGACGCTGTTGTTCTCGCTCCCTGTGGATGGCGCTCAGCTGCTCGGCGCTCATCCCCTTCCACCTGTCAGGCAGAATGTGAGGTGGCCTCCCTCCTCCCACATCTACCTCTGCTGCCTCTGCTCTCTCAGTCATCATGTCAGATGTCACTGTATGCCACATTTCTGCAAATTTCTCCCTTTCCTCCGTCCTGCGTTGCTCCTTGAGGTTTTCGTCTCGCTCCGCTGCCTGCGTGAACAACATATGGCGAGGCCTCAGCACTCACTCAGAAAAAGTTGATTCATTATCTCTTCAATGATTAACACAGCAGGGGTCTTACGAAACACTAAAATGTGGTTAAAGAATCAGCCATATGCTGCACATTCTCCTGAGAGATCCACTTAATCTGTTGCGTTTGCTTGTGCATCGTACATGCGAGTGGTTATTAGGGAAACCACACAACTGCCAGAAAAAATATCATGACATAAAGGATTTACAACAATCCTTCCCAGTGGGACATTTCCAACAAGCGCATTCAAGCAAATGAGGGAAGTGCTAAGTGGGGGGTGGAGCTTATTTAAAACAGGCAATTCTCTTGCATATATCAAAGTAGTTTACCCATTGGTGTAGGATGGGGAACAATGAGATCGCCACCCTCTTGTGCCAAACGTGTGCATGCATCACTTAACATTTTAGTTTGCGATTCTTATTTTAAAATCCCACATGAGAACTGTCTGCTGCCGCTCCAAATCCCACAGGATTATCCTTCAAGTGTTCACATCGAGGGCGTGGATGACCATAAGCAATCGTGTGTGCACATATTCTGTACCAGAGCTTGATTGTAGTTGTTGAGCGCCGTGCGTTCGGCTTTCTTGCTCTCTTCTTTAAGTGTGGCCTGCTGAACCTCCTTTAAGGCTTGATGCACCGTCTGCCTGTTCTCCAACATCTCTGCAGCACATGGAATAAGAACTCATGTGACGTGTCCATTTTCACGCCTGCGTTGGCCATAACTCTCTGAACAAAGCTGCACAACGACACACTCATATGTACATTATAGCTCTTGGGGGATGAGCATCAATCAGTGTCACCTGGCAAAAAGGACCGTGTGTAGGAGAGTGTGATTGTTTGTGCAGGAAAGCGTGAAGCATGCGTTTGATTTACAGCAGCTACAGGGAAGATGGTGTAAGCTCGTCTGTAATCGTTGTGTGGATGTGTTTGACTCTTTTAACCTCTATACTTGTCCCCCATGTGCCTTCTTTTATTGCCCTCCATCTGTGCTCGCAGATCTTTTTCTGTCTTCTTCATTTGTTCTTTCTTCATTTGATCCAATCCAATATCTTCTCCCTGTTCAACCAGGTGCAGCTTGATTATTTATTAGCCGTCCATTTGAATTAGGTTCATAGTTTTTTTTCCCCCTGAAGCGCACAATACTCGCTTACCTCGAAGATTTGCATGCTGGCAGGCCCAAGTTCTCCCTCTGGAACTGTAATCTTGAATGCCCCCTTCAGGCCACACTTCAGATCAGCATCATCTGAGTCCTCCACACGTTGCTGAGTGGCCCAGTACTGGGTCAGGTCCTGATGCACTGCTTTTCTCTTCTCTTTGTCATTAATGTCTTGCTGCAGGAGTGATTCATCTTGATACCTTCTCAACGTATCTGAGATGCAGTAAATATACGCTTGTGAAATGTTAAACAGTGATTTCATGTATATAGGGTCTCCAACATTTTGAACACAATTTACCAAAAGCTTTGTCTCGTTGTCTCTCCATGTTCTGCTGTTGCTTTTTTTCTTGGACTTGCTGGTTCAGGGCGTCTGTGTCGAGGCCCATCACACGCAGCCTGGTGTTGAAGATCCGGGCCTTGCGTGCTGCTTCTGCTGATCTTCGTGACTCCACAGCCTTTTCTGTGGCCTGGTCTAACAGCAAGTCCGCTTGGAACATATTTGCAATGTCTGAAGAGATCAAATATTTAGGTGAAAACAGTTTTAATAATTATGTTGGGATCACAATAGTGTGATCTATTCTTATGAAATGTATCTTCTGCCATGACCAAACATCATTAACCTGAGGTAGCTTCTTGGATTGTAGCTATACATCAGATGGTGTTTTATTAGCTGCACTCTAAAAACACAATCAACAATCAATTACTTGGAGCACTTCTTACCTGTGTTACAAACTTTGAACAAAATTCAGCAAATATCCGTGAGTGTTCACCATTCAGCAACTCGACCTTTGTGTTTGAGTGCAACCGGTGGTAACCATGGTAACAGCTGAACGTCTTTTGCTGTAAAAAAAACGCATAAGAAGCCATTTTCTTTGAAATAATAGTAAATAAATAAAAACAATTAACTCTGTAACGTCAGTCCACAATTTTTGTGGAAGGGAATTTAATTTAAAAATGGCATTAAGGTGTGGGGGAGGAACAACTCTTAAGGTAGCCGAAGTTTGTCTCGCGAGAAGAAGCGAGGTTTCGTGTCTCGCGCGGGTCTTGCTGTGAGATCGTAAAATGGCGCTTTGTTGTTAGTGGAGTTCCGAGCCCTTCTGATAAATAATGCCACCCTGCAAATATTATCAGACTTAACTTGTACTGCATAATGTAACGCGTGTGCAAATGAGCAATATACGGAACAGGCAAATTTATTTATTTACGAGCAAACTTTATATTTCATATAGTTACTTGCTACACACGGGTTAGCATTAGCTAAACAGCTAACGTCGGTGCAGATTTTATCCTAACGGCGAAGCAAATATAACAAAAATGGGCTATTTAAAGCTAATAGAAATCGAAAACTTTAAGTCGTACAAAGGGCGACAAATCATTGGACCGTTCCACAAGTTTACTGCAATCATCGGACCTAATGGATCTGGTATGTTGGGGATTATTTGTAGCAGCTAATGCAAACTGCTAGTGTTGGCTAACGGTAAATTGTGTCGTTGCAATATAGCGATTTTTATTGATGTATATTTGTTTGAATGTTCCGAACTATTAATGCCACGTGTATTTTGTCATATATACTAAATATTTTGCTTTTTTGAGTGTATTTCAGTGTAATGTTAAGGGTTATTTAAGGCTTCTGTAAGTGATGTTACAGTCAGAATGAATGTGAGCTTGCACAACAAACGGTGAAAAGTAAAGATAAAAGATACACAGCCAAGTTAAAAAGCACAGATATTTAATGCATTTCATGCTTTTACTACAGGTTGAGCCACTTAGTGAAAACAAATGTAATAACTCACCTGTTTTACATGTTTGACTTCTAATTAATATGAGGAAAAAGTTGCAGTCTCACATTGCTACATTTTTTATTTGTTTATGTATTTTTTTATCTTAGGAAAATCCAACCTTATGGATGCCATCAGCTTCGTGTTGGCAGAAAAGACCAGTAACTTGCGTGTAAAGACTCTGAAGGATCTAATCCATGGAGCTCCTGTAGGAAAGCCAGCTGCCAACAGAGCCTTCGTCAGTATGGTGTACCAAGAAGATAATGGAGAGGAGCGCTCCTTTACAAGGGTCATCATTGGTAAGAAGCTTCTTTGAACCAGAAATTAGGAGGCGCAAGCTTTGCTAATGCAACCGTAACCCAAAAACATGGAAAGATAATCTAATGTGAAATGAGCTTATACTGCTGCAAGTATAATATAATACGTAAACTTAAAATGTGAAACTAATTATAAAATTTTAAAAGCAGCAGTTATTTTATTTTCCGTGTATTTACTAAATCATTATGCCGATGTGTCAGGATCCTCTTCTGAGTATCGCATCAACAGCAAGGTGGTGGGCCTTCCTGAATACAGCGAGGAGCTGGAAAAACTTGGAATTCTGATCAAGGCTAGGAATTTTCTAGTCTTTCAGGTAAGACTAACTGATCAGCAAACTATTTTAGGGCACCTTTCTATTAAGGTCATAAATCTCCTGTTGTTTTACAGTGGTAAATTAGTGTTTGCTTAAATTGTATATTTATGTTTGGCAGCTGTTTTTTTTTTTTTTTTACCACAATTCATTTTTTTCTTGCTCTACCCTTAATGTTGCTTCAAGGGAGCTGTGGAGTCGATTGCTATGAAGAACCCCAAAGAGCGTACTGCGCTTTTTGAGGAGATCTCGCGTTCTGGAGAGCTGGCCCAGGAGTATGATCGGAGGAAAAAAGAAATGGTGAAAGCAGAAGAAGACACACAGTTCAATTATCACCGCAAGAAAAACATTGCTGCAGAGCGCAAAGAAGCAAAGCAAGAGAAGGAGGAGGTATATTCTTTATGTGGAATAAAATAATCTTCGGCATGACTTTATTTTGTTTGGCAGTGGAAGAAAAATAATTTTCTCACTGATAATTGGGTTGACACTCTTGAATAAAACATTTCATTGCATTTGCCATCGTTGATCATGCTGTCCATTCTTTTATTATTTTGTCAGGCTGAGAGGTACCAGCGCCTTAAAGATGAAGTAGCAAGAGCCAGCGTACAGTTGCAGCTCTTCAAGTTGTACCACAACGAGACTGAAATCGAGAAGCTGAACAAAGAACTAGGTCAGCGGAACAAAGAAATTGATAAGGACCGTAAAAAGATGGACCATGTGGAAGAGGAGCTGAAGGACAAGAAGAAGGAGCTTGGCAGGCTGATGAGGGAACAGCAGACCATTGAGAAAGAAATTAAGTAAGTTAATGTGTCCTTATAGGATTCTCATAGACTTTTTGAGTTTATTTCACTTAATAACCTTTTAATAACCTTTTAATTCTATTTACAGGGAGAAGGACTCCGAGTTGAACCAAAAGAGGCCTCAGTACATTAAGGCCAAAGAGAATACTTCACACAAAATCAAGAAACTTGAGGCAGCACGAAAATCATTGCAGAATGCACAAAAGATGTACAAAAAGCGCAAAGGAGACATGGATGAGTTGGATAAGGAGATGAGAGCGGTGGAACTGGCCAAGCAAGAGTTTGAGGAAAGAATGGAAGAAGAGGCACAGAGCCAGGGCCAGGACCTCACTCTGGAGGAAAATCAGGTATTTTTCTCAATTAAGGTTTACGTATTGTTTTTGTTGAATACATTTATAATAATTCACTTCTTTTGCCAGTAGAATAAAATTATGCACACAATTTTTTTTTATGCATTTGTAAACTGTGTCAGTTTGATGTTTTTAATTTGGATTTGTTCTTTGTTCTTAATATGATTAAGATATTGGGTTGAAATGTAATCATAAATGTATTTGCACGACTCTTTCTCTGTCCAGGTTAAGCAATATCATCGTCTAAAGGAAGAGGCTAGTAAGCGTGCTGCTACTCTGGCTCAGGAGCTGGAAAAGTTCAACCGTGACCAGAAGGCCGACCAGGACCGCCTTGACTTGGAGGAGAGGAAGAAAGTGGAGACTGAGGTAAAAGGATGGCAGGTTTTTCTGTGCCAGGAACTGATTTATTTTAGATTTATTACAGCTGTATATTGCGTTAATTTCTGCCAGGCCAAAATCAAACAGAAGATCCGTGAAATTGAAGAAAACCAGAAACGTATTGAGAAATTGGAGGATTATATCACCACCAGCAGGTATGTTTCTCATATGTTTGAACTGTTTTATACAGTGCTCTACCATATCTCCCCTTTTCTGCTTTACTCAAACACTTTTGTTTTGGTAACTCTTAGACAATCACTGGATGAACAGAAGCGCATGGAGGAGGAGCTGACGGAGGAAGTAGAAATGGCCAAGAGGAGGATTGATGAGATCAATATGGAGCTTAACCAGGTACTTAATAAACGAGGACGAAAGAAAAGTAAATGACCTCAAGTGAATATTTTAGCGTTGAGTTTTTAGTGTTCTGCAGTTAAAACGCTGTAAAGTTTAGGCTCAACTTTGAGCTAGACTGCTGGCTTGTTCTGCATCTGATTTTTACTAGGGGTGCACCAATTGCAGTTTTCTGGCCGATCACCGATTTCTTAAAAGTCTGACCTGCCGATTCCGATTTTGGCTGATACCGATTTTGTTTTATAAGCGACACTGTCAGGTGTTATAAGGTCACACTGAACCTTCAATCTTCCAGTATTATTTTTTGAAAAACATACCCTTGAACAATATCCTAGAAACAATACAAACATGCTTTAACTGGCCATGAGGTAGTGCTCTGAAATATAAATGAAGTTTAGACAATTGTTGTTAAAACTAAAAAAATCAATAAAATCGGTTTCTCATGCAAGTATCAGCCGATTTCCCCAAATAAAGGAAATCGGGGCCGATAAATCGGTCGCCTCTAATTTTTACTCCCCCCCAGTAAAGGAGTTCAAAACAAAACAAATTTTTTTTTTATGTCAATCGATAAATATATCTGTAAAAAACAAGTGTGAAAAATGTGACGTGGACCACTAATTAATTACAAATTAGTGTTTAATTAGTTTTTCCTCGCATGCCTCGTAGTGTTAAGTATATTCTTCTCACATGTGTTGACTAGCAAAAATGTCACCTTAGAGAACTCAATGACCATTCCAAATGTTATTGGCTTTTGCTGTAGGTAATGGAGCAACTGGGAGACGCCAGAATCGACAGGCAGGAAAACAGTCGGCAGCAGCGTAAGGCAGAGATCATGGAGAGTATCAAAAGGCTTTATCCTGGCTCTGTGGTAAGACCCCTTTGATTAAACAAAATTAGCATTTCTTTATTTGTAACCCAGCAGCTTTTTAGGTTTCTGTGTTGAACAATAAAAAAAGTGGAAAGTTTATATAACCAATTTTTAATAAAAGCATATTTTGCACTGTTTTCAGTACGGCCGTCTGATTGACCTGTGTCAGCCCACCCAGAAGAAGTATCAGATTGCTGTTACCAAAGTGTTGGGCAAGAACATGGATGCCATCATTGTTGACTCAGAGAAGACTGGCAGAGACTGTATTCAGTACATCAAGGAGCAGAGAGGAGAGCCTGAGACCTTCCTTCCTCTCGACTACCTTGAGGTAAATATTAAAGCTCAGATTTTGGATCTAATCAAGAATGATTAGATGTAAAATAGTATGAATGAGTGTTTACCTTCTAACTACTTACCAACCTACAATAGTTGTACTCCTTCAGCTTTTAATGGGATCTGTTGGTGTTTATTTTACGGCTAAATTCATAAAAGTTGTTTGCCAAATGACAAAATTTTAAAAAAATGTTTCCAGTACGGTTAAAGAAAAAGTTTTGTTTTGTCAAAGGTTAAACCAACAGATGAAAAATTGAGAGAGCTGCGAGGGGCTAAGCTGGTGATTGATGTTATCCGCTACGAGCCGCCCCACATCAAGAAGGCCCTACAGTACGCGTGTGGCAACGCTCTGGTTTGTGAGAATGTTGAGGATGCACGAAGGATTGCTTTTGGAGGGCCATACAGACACAAGGTACCCAACTTCATTTAAGAGGAATCCTCTTAAAATCCTGCATACGTCCAGATCGTTTTCTTCTTCTGGCTTATTTTTCCTTGTTCCTTTGTGTCCAGACGGTGGCCCTGGATGGTACTTTGTTCCAGAAGTCTGGAGTTATATCTGGAGGAGCCAGTGACCTGAAAGCCAAGGCCAGACGTTGGGATGAAAAGGCAGTGGATAAACTCAAAGAGAAAAAAGAAAAACTTACAGATGAGCTCAAGGTGACTTTTATTTTTTATCAGACAAGAATGCATATTTGATCGTAACTGATCCTGATACAGTTTGAAGCAGTGTCTGAACATTCCTTCAACAGCATTCGTTTCTAAGCTTTATCCAAAATCTCAACATTGACGGTAGTTGAGTTTATCAATTAACATAAATGCATTGCATTCTTTGCTTTTCCTTTATTTTTCTTTTTAGGAGCAAATGAAGGCAAAGAGGAAGGAGGCAGAGCTGCGTCAAGTGCAGTCTCAGGCGCACGGTCTGCAGATGAGACTGAAGTACTCCCAGAGTGATCTGGAGCAAACAAAGACCAGACACCTGTCCCTCAACATGCAGGTACAGCCCGTCACTTTGGTTTCATTTTCTTTTTATCTTTTGTATATATAACTGCTTTAACAAGTTTATTTGTGTCATGCAGGAAAAGTCCAAACTGGAGAGCGAACTTGCAAATTTTGGCCCTCGCATCAATGACATCAAACGAATCATTCAGTCTCGTGAACGAGAAATCACTGACCTCCGGGACCGCATGAACCTGGTGAGACTGACAAAGTGTAGCCTTTGAGAAGCCCGGGTAATAAATAAGTAGCACTGCAATAACTTTTTTTTAATGCTTTTGTTTACTAGGTGGAGGATGAAGTGTTTGTTGAATTCTGTAAAGAGATTGGAGTAAGAAACATCCGAGAATTTGAGGAGGAAAAAGTGAAGAGGCAAAATGAAATTGCAAAGAAGCGGTCAGTTTAGTAATTTAATCACCTCACTCTCTCACTTTTAACTTTTTTTTAAGTGTTGTGTAACATGATCCTATTTGACTTCAGTCTTGAGTTTGAGACCCAGAAGACCCGTCTGGGAATCCAGGTGGACTACGAGAAGAACCAACTGAAAGAGGATCAGGAGAAGGTCATGATGTGGGAGCAAACTGTTAAGAAAGATGAAGCTGAAATAGAACGATTAAAGAAGGTATAAAAAAAAAAAAAAAAGAAGAATATATATATTGTTATTCAAAGTTTGTTTTCTCAGTCATCCAGGTATATAACAACAAAAAAGGT